CACCCCAAAGCCCCACACACACTGTGGCCAACCAGTGCCCCACCAGGGCTCCCCCCACCCCTTGGCTCTCGCCCCCCAGAGCCGCCCGTGGCCACGGTCTTTGCCCGCACACCCAGACCAGACCAGCTCCTGCTGGTTTGCCGCGTCACCGGCTTCTACCCACGGCCCATCAGCGTGGCCTGGCTGCGGGATGGCCAGGAGGTGCCGCCGGGCCCAGCGCTCAACACCAGCACCATCCTGCCCAACGCCGACCTCACCTACCAGCTCCGCAGCGTCCTGGCCGTGGCCTCCCATGACGGGCACAGCTACGCCTGCCGCGTGCCCCACCGCAGCCTGGGCACCCACAGCCTCCTCATCCCATGGGGTAGGTGCTACGCATGGGGACAGGGATGGGGCTCCTGATCCACCCTGCCCCACGGGATGGAGCAAAGCCAGGAAAGCTCATGGCTCATTCCATGGGGTAGGTGCCACCCATGGGTATGGGATGCAGGGTGTGGGCAGAGGTCCCTGGCCCTATGCAGGTACCTGGAGGATGGTGGTTGGGCTCCGATGGCAGCTCCGGCCATGGCTGCCTGTGCGCCTGCAACCCCTCTCTCTCCTCCCTCCTCCAGGCAGCTCCAAGGCAGCTCTCAGTGTTGGCATCACCATCGCAGTGCTGCTGATCGTGGCTGCAGCCCTTGCTGGGGCCATCTGGCGCTACAGGCGCATGTGAGGTCTCCTTCTCACCCAGCTGCACCAGCCCCATCGGCTCCAGGCCATGGCATGTGGGAGCTGCCTGGCCAGGGCTGCTTGCCCTTGTCCAGCCTCACTCACGTCCTCCTCTCCTGCAGGAGCTGAGAGCATGGGGCACACCACACCAGGGATGCCCCGGGGCCACATCGGCCCCCCCCACATCTCCCTGACAATAAACCACTAATTAGCACCCCCCACGCATGTGGGAATTCCTGGTGTGCCATGCCCAGCACCCACAAGCACATGGCATCACGCGGCTCCTGCCCACCCCAGGACAGATGGGAAGAGCCCCCGTGCAGTGCAGGGGCATGCCCACACTCCTCATCCCAGGGTGAAACACCGGGACAGCCCCCCAACACCAACGGGGTGTCCCTGGCCCCAGACCCTAGTCCTGGGGGCCACCAGGCTGCCCACGAAACAGCAGGACTCAGCCAGTGCCAACACAGGCCAGGGCAGCGATGCGGCCGGGCAAGGGAGGACCATCTTTCCCCCACCCACCCTTCTGGGGGCACATCAGCACCTCTGCACCAGATGCCGGTCCCTGGGACCAGGGGACGGTGACAAACAGGCACGGGGCCAGCACACAGCTTGGTGGCATGGGGAGCATGGGGAGCACATGGGCACGTGGCCAACCGTGGGAACAGGGTTTGCCTCCCCCGTGGGAAATACAGCCACATTGGGGCAAACCCGCCCAGTTCAGTGCTAGGGGCAGCAGCACAGAGGGGACAGAGATGTCTCTGCCATGCAGAGCCGGGCTCTCTGGGCACGAGTGGCAGCACGTTCCTGTCAGGGACAGTGGATGCAGCCCACAGCCAGGTGGCATCCCCACCTGCACTGAGGGTAGAAAAGAAGGGTCCGGTCATCTGCACCACCCCGGGTGTCAGGGTGCTGCCGCGGCCATGGGGGACCCCACCTGCAGCCAGGGGGGTGGCCTTGCTCCCACCCAAATTCCCCCAGCATTTGTGGCCACAGGCCAGGGTGTCCCAGCCCAGCCTACCCATCCTCCTGTGTGACCCCATGGGCAAGGGGCTCCCCCTTACCTGCCCACGCAGGCGCTCGCCCTCGCACTCCTCCTCATCCCCCTTCCCACTGTGTCCCTACCCCATCCCTGTCCCCTTCCCTCACCCCCAACGTCCTTCCCTCTCCCCACACACCCCCAGCCCTGGCGCTGGCCCCCTTCCTCATCTCAAAGCGCCCGTTCCCTGTTCCCCTTCCACAGCCCCACCTGTCTCTCCTCTGTCCCCACGGGTCCCTTCCTCCTCCCCACACGTCCCCGTGCCCCTACCCCATGGCGCAAGGGCAAGACGGGGTCCTGGGGACCCCGCGCTCATGGCTCGACGCCCAGCCCAGGGCCCCCAGCAGCAGCCCAAGGCCTGCCCTGGCCTTACCGTGCCCAAGTACTGCACCTGATGTCGCCGGGCGCCAGGCAGATCCCCGGCCCTGGCCCTCCCCACCGCCAGGCACAGCAGCCCCGATGACCCACCTGGCCCAGGCGGCCCTCATGGTGCCCCCGCCCTCCCCACGCTGCCATTGGCCGTGCCACGGCCCACTCACCAATGGCGATCCGTGCTGCTCCTAGCGTCACCGGGCGCCTGGCGGATGAGGGGCGAGCATGGCTGGGGACGGGGGAGAGGGCCGCCTCACACCGGCCCGGCCTGCGGGGATGCCCCCAGCACCTGGAGGGCCATGGATGACCCAAGGGGGTTTCCCGTCCCAGTCCTCGCCAGGACCATCCTCCCAGGCAGTGCCCATCAGCCACCAGCTCCAAAGGCCCCTTTCTGGCCCGTTCCCAGCCCTGTCCCATGTCACCCAGCTGCCATGGCATCACCCCTGTGGTGCCCAGGGCTCAGGGGGTGGCCCTCGCTCTCAGTGCTGGGGGTCCCCGAGCTGGGGCCTGTGACGCTGTGACACCACAATCCCCGCCGCGGGCCGCTCTCCGTGTCTTTCCTCCATCCCGTATGCCAGCATCCTCTGCCAGACAGGGGTGAAGGCAGCAGACATGCACTGCACTGCCTTTGGATCTGCAGGGAGGCACCCCCTTCCCAAGGAGCCCCCGCTCCCACATGGGGACACTCTCCTTCCCCGAGCAGGACGAGGAGCCCAGCCCACCCCCTGATCAAGGGGTTCTCCGGCCATTGAGGACAAGTGCTGTAGGAGCGTGGGAGATCCCAGGGGACACGGAGGAACCATGACAGCAGTCCCTGAAATAGGTGAGCAGAGTGACAGCAAGAGAAGGTCCGTGCAGCTCCTCACCCTTGGAGGCGAGACCAGCAGCATCTGGTCCCTAGTGCTCACACACGCACTCAGCAAGCTTGACTGCATCATTGGCTCCTTCAGACAAACCTTTGGACAGGTTGTGCGTGCAGCCATAATCAATACGTGACAATTTAAACTTAAGCTTCTTGAACATGCCCAACACAAGGTCCTGCAGTGCTTCCAAAGGGATGTCCCAGGAATTCACCTCTCCTGCTGTCACATGATGAAATAAATACCCTGGAAAAAGGCAAGACTTTAAAAATAAATTCTCTCCCAAGAACACAGTGCTTCTCTGAGCCTTTTCCTGCAGCCCCTGCCTCAGTCAAAGGGCTGACGTACGGAGTCAGGCTGTGATGGAGCTGCAGCAGCATCCCCACTTGCCACGCACACAAACCAGAGAGAGGAGCCACAAGGCACCCAAGGAACCTGTGGGCCCTCCTGCAGGGACAGTCACTGTGGCAGGGCGGGGGCTGTACCCTCCACGTTTCTGGAGGCCGTGCTTAGCCCAGGAGTAGCAGTGAGCCTCTAGGACCCTGACATACAGCATGTTTCCCAGCCCAGGAGCGGCAGCAGTGCTCTGGGAGCCTCATACACAGCAGCGTGCTAGTCAGCCGGGAGAGCGGTGGGGTTCACGGACATGTGCCCATAGCACCGTGCTTAGCAGTGGTGCTCCAGTCGAGCAGCAGCATTCCCATTGACGGTATACCAGCAAGGCCCTGGGATGCAGGCACACGGCTGTGTGCCCAACCAGCGCACTGGTGGAGCTCCATGGAGCAGTGGCTCCATCCCCAGGAGGCTGAAACCCTCACACAAAGCAGCATTCCTATCTCTGGGGTAGCGCTGGGGACGCTGGCTCACAGTAGCGTGCCCAGATGCAGTGCACCAGAGGGGCTTGAGGATGCACGCCCTCCGTGCCCGGATGCATTGCGCCAGAGGGGCTTGAGGATGCACGCCCTCAGCAGCGTTCGTTTCCGTTGTGGGTGCACCAGCGGGATTTGGAGCCCTTGTGCACAGAAGCTCTCCCATCCCTGCCAGACAAGATGGCTCAGGGACTTTGCGTAGCGTTTTTTCTCAACAACACTGCGACGGCAGGTCTCGGGAAGCCTCGCACATAGCAGTGATCCCATCAGCATGAGACCGGTGGTGATCGAGGACCTGGGGACTGGCTTGTGCAGGTGATTGTGACG